GCTTTGAATACAATTCTAATCTTTTGATTAAGCTATGAAGAAAAATGCAGGTTTTTTATATGAGGGCCATGTACTTTTCAGATATTTTTGTCAGATATAATGGGAACTTATGCAAAAAGATAAAGTAAGAAAATGGATATAGTAGGAAATTCCTTGAAACATTAGGGAGGCTGAAAGACTATTTAAGGTGGTTAAAAATGTTTTTACTTTAGTCCTCTTTTAAAATCCTACTCAGGAAACAGGTAAAAATAATTCTTCCTTAATTTTTGCTTTCTATTCCATTATCACTGCTAATCATATACTTGTAATTGCAAACTTGACCTTTGCAGAAGGTTTGATGGTTAAAGTCATACTTTAACAATGCAAATATATTAAACATTTGGTAGATTAGCATGAGTTTATTCCATATGCTTCATTTTTTATACTGTGTTTGAGACTGCTAAGTGATCCAGCTTGTGTGTGTGATGCTACATAGATTAGTTAATAGTTACACTTTTTGTCCATTTTATGCTCAGCATGTAGTAGAAATTTAAATTACAGTATACAAAAGGGATTTTGGAATTGTTTAACTAAATCCACTATTACATGTAATGGTAAGAAAAAAAATTGAATTTTTTTGTATTTAAAAACTAATTTGTTTAAGAAAGCACTAACTATAATTAGTTATCTCAATGTTTTTCAACATTAAAAGGAGGTAATGATTTTAGTTTTAGTGAAATCACAGTCAGAGTTTAGACCTGATGAGCACCGGTGCCTCACAGCTTATTGGAAACTGTTTTCACGCACTTAATACTGAGAATTTCCCCTGTTCAGAGGCCTGACAGTTTTCTCCAAGGTAACATTTATACATATTGACTATTTTAGAAGTAAATAATTTGTAACATAGTGAGTTCAAAGCCTCTCCTCATTTCAAATGGATTTATTTTGAGAGGAAAAACATAACAACTATTTTATGTAATAAAACATGAAAGCATTAATTTCTGTCTGTTTTGATGTGGTGCTTTCGTGGTAGACCAGAAGTTCTAATCATAGAGTAAAATACTGTGGCATACTTTTATTTAAAAATTTGGAAAATTTCAGTTTCTAGGAAGTCCTGTTGATTAAACACTAGAATATTCTTTTGATTCATAAGTTATCATAAAATAAAGTCTTGTCATTTTCTCTGACAACTTGTGTCTTTTATGCTCCTGGATGAACTGGGAACTGTATATTTTCCTGGTAAAGAATTATCTGAACTGATACAAAAGCAATACACAAGCGTTGACAGACAATACAATGAATCAAAATCTTACTGTAAAATATTGACATTTTCATTAAGAAAATACTTGGCAGCTACCAACAGGGACTTGCTCTTTCTATTGAAATGAGAATGCTACCAGAAGCTATCACTGGTTTTCAGCATATGAAATGCTGAGGCCTGAGATGAACCAGACAAGAACTAATGGTCATATTAGGCTTGGTGGTTTTTCCTTTTGTTCTGGAAGGCCAAGTTATTTTAGTGGTAACTCTGCTGTGGGGGGTATTTCCACAGGACAGAATGAGCTGTGGAGTCCCTGACCAGTAGTCCCGTGAGCACTCATTCAGTATATGGACATTCATTCATTCATTCATTCTTTCATTCATATTCCTGACCCCACTCATTCAGTACTGATCCAGCACATCTTGCTTGGTTTTTTTATCCTGAGTCATTGGATGATGTTATAAAATTATTAACTTATGTAAGTGTGAGTGCAATAGAATATTGCATAAAAATTTTCTATGTATTTGTCGCTTTTCCTTACTGAAGGATGTTTAGGTTGTTGTAAATGGCAAATTTTCTGTACCTTTACTATCTGGAAGATGCCCTTTGACGAACTATTTTTGGTTCATGCATACTGTCTTTTATCTCCAGAATAAGAGCAGTCTTCCTTTTTTCCACTTCCGGTACATCATTCAGCATGTGTGATTTATTCAAATTACCAGAGCATAAGTGTAATTTTAAAGCTATAGTCCATGTTTCTCAAGTTCAAAGTGGTTTAATTCTTTACTAACATTGCAAGAAGTGATTTGTCATGGAGTATGTCTACGAGACCTGTTTCCTCCTAATTAAAAACAAGCCAAATGCTAACTAATAACTACAGTTTTTCTCTTTGAACACTGAGGGCAGAACTGTTTTCTTAGCAGTGTTCACTCAGCACTGAAGATTTAAATTTACTCTTTTCACAATAAGCACTCTGTGCAGAAGATGCTGCTTTCTTTGAAATTATCTTCTGGTCTAATGTCCAGTTTTAATTATAAGAACAACTGTCTTCTTCAGACGGAGTCCTTTGTATTTTCTTCACACAAGCCACTCTGAAACTGTGTACAATAGGGCAGTTAAGGCAGTCTAACTCATCTATAATGTGAGAATTGAACAAAACCTCAATTTTTTCCTAATTTTTATAGTGTTAACTTTTTAAGAAAATATTCTAATGTGGCTTTATCTGGATTTCGGTCTCATACAGCAAAGATGTTTGCTTTGTTATTAAAATTTCAAAACTGAAGACAGATTTGTGTTAAGTTTGCCAGTATGCTAGCTTTCGGCCCAGTTTGTGAGGTCTTCAACTTCGTGAACTTTCATTGATGGAGGAATGGTGTCCAGTCTTTCTTCAGCTTTTATCATCATAATTTTACAGATTTCCATGTGCCAGGCTTATTAAAGTGCATTTAGACTTTGTTGATGTGTAAAGCTGCAACATAACTGTGCTGTTTTTGGCTGAGATAGAGTTAATTTTCTTTATAGTAGCTGTTATGAAGCTATACTGTGGATTTGTGCTGAGGATAATGTTGATAACACACTGAGGTTTTAGCTCTTGCCAAACAATGCTTACATTAAGCCAAGGACTTTTTTGTCTTCTCACACTGCCCCTGCCCTCCCAGCTTCTTGCAGAGAAGCTGGGAGGAGACACAGCCGGGACAGCTGACTCAAACTGGCCAAACAGATATTCCGTACCATAAAATGTCATGCTCGGTATATAAGCTAGGGAGTTGGGTGGACGGCATGATTGCTGCTTGGTGACTGGCTGGGTGTCAGTCAGCGGGTGGTGAGTGGTTGCATCACTTGTTTTTCTTGTTTTGTCTCCTTTTCATTAAAATTTATTAGTGTTTTATTTCAATCATTAAACTGTTCTTATCTCAACCCATGAGTTTTCTTTTTCTTCTGATTCTCTCACTGTGGGGCAGGGAGAGTGGGAGTGAGCGGGTGGCTGTGTGATGTTTGTTACTGGTTGGGGTAAAGCCACAACAATAAGGAAGGACATATAGTCATTGTTTGCACTGAATTTTTTGCAATTTTTTTCTCTCTACAGTTTTAATTGCTACATCACCAAAAAACTACCTGGTCTCCAAACTATCACAGAAACAGTGTTTCAGTGTTAGTCTGAACCACTAATAATTTTTGAAAATTAATAGTGTCTGTTCCTTTTCACTTGCTAGTTCTTTTGCTAGTGAGCTAAGAAGATCCATTTGGTTTGTGAGGTGGGAAGGTGTCTCTGGTACCGTTGATTTTTGTATTAAGTCTCATTGAAAACAAAACAAAAATACGGAACTTGTTTTCTTCTGTAGGTTGTTAGCACTTAGAGACTTTCTGTATGACTAAAAGGTTTCAAATCATCACTGAGATGTCTTGATGCATCAACCATTTCCAGTAATTTTTAGTAGTAGGAACATTATTGCCTAGTAATGATTTTCTCAGTGAGTCTAGATTAGGCAAGTCCAGACTGAAAGCAAAACAAAACCTGTGTACAGAAGTTGAATCTTTGGCACTATTTCTCCTGTTAATTTGCTTGTGCTGCATGGCATTGCTAGCTAATTTAGAGGTAGTCAAAGATTGTTGGAACAGTTGGAAAGGTGACCTGTTGTGATAGGTTCTCTATTCACTGATTGTCCTTGAAGAGGTGAAACTAAAGGAGCATGACTTCAGTATAGTCAAAAGTAAGAGGAGTCATAGCTGCTTTCTGTGAATATATTGGGATTAATCAGCAGAATGGGGAAA